AGTCAACTTGGAATAGGAGATGTATGAAAGAAGATATTTTTATCTTTCTACTTCATTTTACATTTTTGTAATATCATGAATAGAGAATATTTTGAACTCGGCGTGTCGACATATAAACTACTCACCTATTAAATATTTGAAGATTTTATTTAACAGCAAAATTGTTAGATGAAAATATTGATAGTTAACATTTTTTTGAGATTTCAGTTTTTTGAGAGGTAATTCTTTCTTTATATGTGTCTAAATTAGTAAAATGTTACATAATGTACAAATTACATTTAATTAATTTTAAATGTTTTTAACATGTAAGCAGTCATAATATTTCTAGCCAAATCTTCTTTCAAATATCCCCTACACAATTTTACCACTTAAAACAATCAATAACCACGATTTTGCCACATATTCAAATATCATCCAATTTGTACATAAATAATGTATAAGTAGCATAATTCTATCACCTGCATATTTTGCAAGGGTTTTGCTTAATGTACAGTAGGTTTTTGTGAAGAAACCTGTCAGAACACACATATAAAGGGGTGGGTGACGTATCTTTTGACAATTTTTTTCTCCATGAACCCCATATCATGAGAATATATATTTTGACAGTCTTTTGTGAAACTTTTTCCAGTACAAATGGATTGATCCATTTTGCAAGGGACAAAAGTGATGTCAAACTTGAATGACATCCATTGAAGGGTAAGCGTGGATGGGGTGCTGGGCTAGGGGTGCGAAAGGACACTGCACAAATTACAAGCCTTCTTCCAATCAAACTTGAGATTTTGTATCCTCCTCACATTGTCTGATGTGACAACTTTTTCTCAAAAAGAGTATAATTTACATAAAAATAATCAAAAATTCCAAGGAAGATGTTTGTAACTTTATGTGGCTTAGTGTCCTTTTTCTCTCTACAATCAAGAAAAGCACATTGGCCACAATTATAACAGAGCAGTGCTATATGTATGGAAAATGTGCAGATAAATTTACATATGACAATATTTCTTTGAATTTTGGATAAAAAAATATTGTTAAAACGGTTAATTAAATGTTGTCATTTTCGTACATGTAAAATTGTCTATATATATATATATATATATGATGTACAAATATTATTTTTTATTTTAATATTATTTTTTATTTTAATAAGCTTATATATACCTAAGTCTTTAAATGGTCTTCATGTTAACTGGATAGCATTTTCCTAGTGCCTCGTGGGGAAAAATGTAATTTTAAACTTATAGTCAGTCACTATTATTCTAATTAGAAAAATAATCAAAAGCAAATCATAACAAGATATGATATCGAAGGGTAAAAAAACAACATATTTTGTAGTAATTTGTTATTTCTAGGCACATAGATGACATACTCAAGTTTCGATGGCGTAACTGAATTTTCATAAAAATAAATATGCAAGAGCCAAGTGACAACTTAATAGATATTTCTACAATAGTCGCTAAGAGGACAGATTGTGCAGTTATATGAAAGGTTAAGATTAACTTGCTTAGTATTAAAGATTAGGGACCTATTCATTATTGGAGCAATAAGGTGGGGACTGATGGTGCAATTTTCGCAAACTATTAGCCAGGGATTACTTACTAGAAAATAACCAAAATATGTTATCAAAGGGTTAAAAAAAAAATAATAATAAACACTAGATGTTGCAGAAATTTATTATTCCGAAGAATCAATCAAAGTTGGACATCAAAAGCTTGTTACATAAAGTTGGATATGCGAGAGTTATATAACGATTTAATAAAAATTTGAATAAATTTTCATTTTTTAAGTATTGATTGTGCAATTATAATAAAATGTGTGAAACTAATACGTTAGAGACTAATGGTGAATTTTTTAAAAACTAATAATCAAAGATTAATATTAAATAGGAAATACATGGGCATCAAGTTGAACGAACCCAACGGACAGGGGCGGACCCAGACAACTTGGGCTAGAGGGTCATAAATAAAAATTATAGGTATCTTCTAATTAAAAAAAAACATTTTTTTTTCCAAAATCTAGAGGGTCAATTGACCATGTAAAACCCCCAGATCCGCCCCTGCCAACGGACCAACATTACATATTCAATATTTGTGAAGAATAACTAATTCCACATTTATGTATTTTAAATGGGTTGGATAGAAAATATTTGTATAAGCAGCATCTAAGTCAGCAAGTTGTGTCATATTTGTATTATGTCAAGAATCAGGATGACAAAGATCACTCCAAACCATGTTTAGTCATTGTCATCATCGTTAAGGGACTATACCAACAAATAAGCTATGGTGCCTGGTTTGAGATGTTTAATTTTCAATTCCCTCTCGTTTGAGTTTGAGTTTAATAGAATTATTCATTTAAATTTAATGAATTTTACTATCATATTTAAGTCTTGTGTTTCAATATTAAAAGAGTAGCTCAAACTTTTATATGTTAATTAATATTTCGATATTTAACAAATGTAAGATTTATTTTTTTACTTGTCCACGTATCAAACTTATCAATTCAAGTTTCCTTTTTTTTTTTTTTTTGTTATTTTAGGCTAAATTTTTTTCCAGCAAATAGTTTAGCCTGCGAATATTTAAAATCATGTTAGAAATTGTCTAAAAACAAAAAACGAAATATTCCTTTTATCCCGTTTTATATAAGCTGTGATTTTGTTTTTCACACAAATTAAGAAAATTTATTTAATGTTATTGAAAAAGTTATTTTTGCAAAGAATTTTCCTAATTTACCTTTATTTAATTATCAACAACTAGTAATAAATAATGTGTTTTTGTCCTTGTTTTCAAAGAGAATTGGGAAATGTGTGTACGTATTTGAATAATTCCAAAATGGTAAATTAAAAAATCTGTACAATTTCATGATTAAGTGGGAGGAATTGCTTATAGGGGTGGGCGCGGGGTCGGTTCGATTCGGTTCTCTTTAGAATCGAACGAACCAAAATTTTCGAGTGTCTAATAAATGGAACCGTCGGGTCCAAATATAATTATGGAACCGTTCGGGTTCGGTTCCGTTTGGCTCAGTTCCGTTCGGTTCCGTTCCGTTCGTTTCTGCATTATAATTAAATTTTTTAACATTTATAACAACATTATATAAATACAACTAATGATACATTCAATGATTTTGGAATGTCATAGACTAGTAGACTACCTTGTTCAAATGATCGCTACAATCAAAGTTTCGATCGGCGGAAGTCGCAACTTCGATCGGAGGTCACAGCATCGACCGACGATTGTATAAGTTTTAGAATGTCAGCGAGGCTAGGAGAGTGAGTGCGAGAGTCGAGACAACGTTATGCACTTTAGTGTAGGTATTTAAAGTTATTTAGTGGATTAGATCTTGTTGGGCTAATAAATGAAATAATAAAATGGGCAATGGGGCCAAAAATTAAAAAATTAGAAATGAAACAAATTATTGGGCCAAAAATTTGGATTTAGAAATTGTTAATTTATTAATTTGTTGAGAAAAAATTAAAATTAAAATAATTTGATTTACTCAATATAAAAAAAACTAGAAAGATTCGATTCTTATTCGGTTCTTGATCTAGAACCGAGAATCGAACCGTACTCGTCAGTTCTCAATTCAGATACCCGTTCGAGTATTTAATTTGACAAGAACCGTCGGGTTCGGTTCAGTTCGGTTCGGGTTCGGTTCGGTCAGTTCGGGAGATTTGCCCAACCCTAATTAGTTATAATTAGACAAATTAAATGATGGCATATTAGTAAACGAATAAAACAAATACTTCCTCAATTAAGAAATACGAGTATATAGATGGGACAACAAAATTAAGAAAGTCTATATACATGGGACGAAGGGAATGTATATTTTCCTAAGCAACCTATTATTGTTGGGACGAGAATTATTTTCTTGCATCTTGTTGCCAAAGGTTCTCGTGTTTATTTTCTCTCTCCTCAGGGAGCTGGAGAGTCACCCTAACATTACTATGACATATAAAGGATTTTTGAGACCCGTTTTACACGCTAGAATATTTTTGAGATCACAATTCTAATTCTCCCTTTCTTTATGGTAAAAACTTGCAATGATGAGTAAATGATCACACGCTAATCGTAAGCTATTCTAAGCCCTTGTTTGAGCTACATTATTTTCATAAAATACATTTTTAAATAATGTATTGATGAAAAATGCGTGGTTAAAAAATAAAGAAAAATTTTCGATTTGAGTGTAATATTATTTTATTGAAGAATGTGTATTTAAAATGATGTCAAATCACTGTTTAAGAATGTATTTTTTCTAAAGAATGTGGCTCAAATAGAGCCTAAAATTCGTGTGTTTTGTGATTGACATTTTTGCTCTCGTAAGTAGAGATTAGGATCTAATCCGTAACGCGTTGTGCACAAACATCTGCCTTTATATAACATTTTTCACCTATTTCTGGGGACTTGGAGCACGTTTGGCTAAGCTTTAAAGAAGTTTACTTAAGCAAATAAGTAAATTTTAAAATAAATAGTTTATTATCCTTGTACATTTATGGGATTATTCATGGATATGTCTTCATTACATTATAGAAGCGAAGCACATAAGTTTCAAGTGCTAGACATGTTCACATATTTGATCCTTACAAGTACTGCTTTCTGTTGGCATAAGACGAGAAAATGAGTAGCAGAAACGACGCTTAGACCTATAAAATTTACTTATTTTTGGTTACCTTAAACACTTGTAACATTTATTGAATCTCCCTGCTAACAGTGCGAGGAGATGCTTAGCCTGAAGATGGTGGAAGTGTTCGCTTCACAAATGGATGGTCCAAAAGCAGGGCAGCAGTAGGGCGTGCATGTGGGTTGACTTCTAGACAATGGAGGGTAAAATCCCGTGCCTCCATGGAAAGAGATTCGGGAATGGGTGGTCGCTCACCCCTTCCTATCCTAAACAATGCGGCCGTCTGTTGTACAGAGAGAATATTTGATCAAGCTCAAAATTACTCGAAGTTCAATGAAATGATCGCTATATGATTATGATTCATTGTTCACTCATAGCGAAGGAAGGAAACTTTTGAATTAGCATCTCTAGGACAGTGCATCCAAGGCTCCATCTATCAGCTGCAAGCCCGTATTTCTTGTTCCTAACAACCTGCAGTCACATAGATTGATAATCAGTAAAAGTGGTAAGTAATAATCTCCCATTAAAAGGAAAAGAAAATTGTTATATTAAAGATGAAAACAAGATGGCAATACGAAAATAAAGAATGCAAACACAAGAATACCAAAATTTATGTGGAAACCCAAGATGGAAAAAACCAGACTGATGAGAGAAATCTGCTATTCAAAGAGAATTACAATGAATATTATTTTCACTATGTTTTCTATGCTACACAAAGTTAATAATTCCGTGAAGCATATATATGACCTAAAGAAATATGATTTATATGGAAAAATGATCAAATATTACACAAAAAGAAGGAAAAAATATCTTCCTGAATAACCAGGCCACTCGAGAGGCAGCCTCGAGGAAAGCGAGCGGCAAAACGCCTCTTGAGCGCCAGAGAGGCGAAAAGTGAGCAAGCAGTGATGGCGCCTGAGCGCTAAGTTACGGGTCCAAAGTCCAATTTTCTTCTTTTCTTGGCGCCTAGGCACAGCCCCTATCCTAAGTCACACTTAGTTATATTTTCACCTCTTCAACACTTTTTTCACCCAATCCACTAATACAAGACGATATTGGGTCACACTAATAAATCTCCACCTTGACATAAATTTCAATGCAAGGAATTAGTCTCCACTCTTCATGTAGCACATCTCCACTCCACACAAGCCTCTTGGAGCTAACTCAATAATGAATACCAACCAAGTCCAAGCAATGCTTAAATTTGGCCACGGGGAGTGTCCTTGTCAATATATCAGGGGGAGTTTCCTTAGTGTCAACCTTGCTCACCACGAGCAGTCATATCACGTACAAAGTGATATTGCACATCAATGTGTTTGGTCCTCTCGTTAAACATCTGATATTTTGTGAGAAAAAATAACACTTTGACTATCACCAAAGACCATAGACATCCGTAGGTCTTCACTGATTTCACAAAGCAATCCCCTCGACCATATAGCTTCCTTACATACCTCTATAATAGCCATATGCTCTGCCTCAATAATAAATAATGCCAATGTATTATATAATGTAGCCTTCCAACTGATAGCATATCTACCAATAGTAAACATGTATCCTATAAGTAATCTTCTTTTATCAAGATCTCCAACAATATCCGAATCCACATACCTAATGAATCCACTTAAATCACTCCCACAATGCAAACAAGCACTGGTAGAGCCACGCAAGTATCTAAAAATCTACTACACTACTTTCCAATGTTCATTTTCAGGATTTGCCATGTACCTTTTGAGGTCATTGACTACGTGAACTAAATTTGGATGAATAACCATAGCATACATAAGTGAATCGACTACACTCAAATAAAGAACCCATGTCATGTAATCAATGTCTTCATTTGATTGTGGGCACAAAGCAAATGACAACTTAAAGGGGACACTCAAAGGAGTATAGACAGCCTTTGCGTCCAACATATAGAACCTATAAAGCACTTTCTCAATGTATTCTTTCTGACTGAAGAACAATCTAATAGCTTTCCTATCTCTCAAGACTTCCATCCCAAGAATCTTCTTTGCTGCATCTAAATCCTTCATGTCGAACTCTTCACTAAGCCGAGCTTTCACTTTCTTCACATCTGCTTTATCCTTAGCAGCTATCAACGTATCATCAACATACGGTAGTAGATATATCAAAGACCCATTATCACCCTTCCCAAAATATACACACCTATCACAATTGCTTCTTTTGAAGTCATGAATGAGTCAATCATTTTATACCACTACCTCGGTAACTGCTTTAGGCCGTAAAGCGACTTATTCGATGAACATTCATGGTCCTCCTTTCCTGAGATTATAAAACCATCTGGCTATTGCGTATAAATGTCCTCTTCAAGCTATCCATGCAAAAATACGGTCTTCACATCCAACTGCTCAAGCTCCAAATCATGCTTAACTACAATACCAAGCAAAGATCTAATTGAGCTATGCTTTACAATTGGAAATATTATACTTAGTTACCAATCTCACCTTGTACCTTGTTTTTTCAACTCCTAATGTGCCTTCCTTTTTCTTAATCACCAATTTACAGCCCTTGGATAATTTCACTAAGTCTCACGTTCTCTTGCATAGCAATCAACCATCTGCCAAAATCTCTACAACTCACTACTTCTGAATTTGCAGTAGGCTCCTCACTGGAATCAACATTTTTCGCCACATTTGAAACACATGCCACCAATTATGCTTCGTCATACTTCCGCAGAGATCTACTCTCTCATCTAGGTTTTGACTTTAGCAATTGAATACTGCTGTACCATTGGTCGTAGAGGTGAAGCAGTATTCTCCCTTACTTTTAAGCTAGACTATGATGAAGACTCTTGTTTATCCCATGAACTAATTGTCAACTCCATCTGAGTACTTTGCTCCTATTGATTTATATTATCAGAATCGCTAAGAGGTAGTTTTTGAATCATTTCATTCTCATCAAACACCTCTGTTAATAACCACCTTATTTGTTTTTGGACATCACAATTTATAAACCTTAACACCAAATTTGTAACCCAGTAAATACGCTTCTTAGACATTGGCTCCAACTTTCCATTATCAATATGCACAAAAACAGAGTGCCCAAATATCCTTAAATCTGAATAACAAGGAGGAGAACCAGTATATAGCTCTTTTGGAGTCTTCTTCTTAATGAAGATTGATATGAGCGATTAATGAGAAGATAAGAAGGAAAAGCAGTTTTAGCCGAAAATGTCTTAGGCAAACCAGCATTTAAAAGCATACACCAAACTTTCTCCATTAAGGTCTTACTCATACGTTCTGCCACATAGTTTTGTTACAGAGTCCCACGCACCGTCAAGTGCCTCAAAATCCCTTTTGCCTTGCAAAAATTAGTAAACTCACTCAAACAAAACTCTAAACAATTATCAGTGGTAAGACGTTTTACCTGCTTTCCATTTTACTTATCAATCATTTTTTTCCACTCCTTGAAGGTAGTAAACACTTCACTCTTCTGTTTCAAAAAGAAAACTCACTCGAACAAAACTTCAAATTTGATCAATGGAAAGACGTTTTTAATGCTTTCCAGTTTGCTTCTCAATCATTGTTTTCCACTCCTTGAATGTAGCAAACACTTCACTCTTCTGCTTCATGAAAAAAATCATACTTTTCTAGAGAAGTCGTCAATGCTTGTCAATACGTAATATGCACCTCCTTTTGAAGGCACAGGCCGATCCCTAGAGATCAACATGGATATAATCAAGTGTTTCCTTCGTGTTGTGCCTTCCTTTGGTAAATTTGACCATTTATCGATTCCCAAAAAACACAATGCTTAAAAAATTTCAACTTACTTGTATTCTGACTACCTGGAAACCCTATCCTGCTCAGTCCAGCCATCCCATGCCCGCTCATGTGTCTAAGCCGCATATGCCAAAGTTTAGCGACTTCCTCACCTGTTAAAATAGTAGAAACTATTGCATTACCTGTAACTGTGGAACCCTGCAAGGTATACAACTGTGTCAGACTCCTCTTTATCACCACAAGAGTACCCTTTGCTGACCTTCAAAACTCCACCTTCACCATTATACTTGTACACCTTTGAATAAAGGGTACTCAAAGATATGAGATTTCTATTCAAATCAGGGACATATCTCACCTCACTTATTGTTCTGACGGCTCCATCAAACAACTTGATTCTAATTGTTCTAATTCCAGCAATTTTACATGACAATTTATCTCATGACCATTGTGCCTCTCAATACCACTTTATATGTACTATACCAATCCTTATTAGGATTCATATGGAAAGTACATGCCGAATTAAGTATCCAATTCTCACAAGTTTTGGAATCGCCATAAAAAATCACAAGATGCTCTCCATCACTTTTCTCATATTCTACAACACTGGCTTTTCCTGAACTTCAAGTTGCTTTCCCTTTTGATTTGCAACAGCTATCCTACTCTTCAACTTGTAACAATCGGCTATGATGTGCCCCTTTTTCTTGCAGGAGTGACATATCTTAACTTTATTATTAGATTTTGATCTGCCTCTCATATTTCCACCATGATACCTATCACGAGTCCTCCCACGTACAACCGAGCCCTCTGCTTGCTTGACTCTCTACTTCAACCATAAGGTGCTTCATTTTCTCTTTTGACAATAAAATATCGTAAACTTCTTCAACTATGAGAGTATTACGACTATAGAAGGTGGTATCTTTAAAAGTTGTCTACGAAGATGGATTCGAACACGATAATATTAAAGCAAGATATTTCTCATCATATTTAACCTCCATACTCTCCAAATCAGTCACACTGTCCTTTAACATGGTCAAGTGATCATCAATTAACATACATACCTTCAGACATGCGGTGAGAATACGAGAACTACTTCAATTACTTATCAAGCTATTTGTCATGTAAAGTAGCTCCAATTTCAACCACAAATCAATGACACTCTTCTCCTTAAGAACATCGTGAAAAATTTGATTTGAGAGATAGAGATAAATTTGGGACAGTGCCTTTTGATCCCTATGTTGCTTTTCCTCCCGCATCCAAGTAAAAGGCATCTTATTAAATCCCAATAATGCGTCATCTAATCCATCTGCATAAGTGCAGCGCACATCTTTACTATCTTTACTTGCCATAACGAAAACCTGGTATTGCAATCCAACAGCATAATATCGTATTTCATTGGTGAATTACCAAGAACAACCAAGCTCTAATGCCAGTTTGTTATAATAAAGATGAAAACAAAATGACAATAAGAAAATAAAGAACACAAACATAAGAACGCCAAGATTTATGTAGAAACCTAAGATGGGAAAAAACCACTGGCAAAGGAGAGAACTTCACTATGTGCAGATAATTACAATGAAAATTGCTTTCGATATGTTTTCTATGGTATACAAAGTAAATAATTTCGTGGAGTATATATAGGACTTAAAGAAATTTAGATGGAAAGAAAATAAAAATCACGTAAAATGAAGGAAACAATATTTTCTTGGATAACTAGGCCGCTCAAGCGGCAACCTTGTGGGAAGCTAGTGCTGCAATGTCGCTCGAGCTCCAGACAGGTAGAAAGCAAGCGATAGAAATGGCGCCCAAGTTACGGGTCTAGAGTCCAATTTTCTCCTTTTCTTAGAGCCTAGGCTCTCCATTTGGATGCCTAGTCCCTGTCCCAAATCACACTTAGCCAATTTTTTTACCTCTTCAACACCTCTTTCATTCAATCCACCAGTACACGACCAAATTTGGATCACACTTCATCAAAAATCAACAAAGTTGTTGTATAGATGAATTGTACAAACGGCTTTACAAATGATGACATGGCTGCATTTTAACGGTTGGATTAACTGTATTTTTTTAGTCAAAGATGATGTGAGATCTTGCCACCTGTAATTTTTGTAAGCTATGTTGAACATGTAGCATTTCTCAAAGAAAATAAGCATACTCACAGAATCAATTACAGACGGGACCATCAAGGAACATAAGGATGACTAAAACAATTCCTTCTCGAGAACAATTCAGCGTCTACGAGTATGTTTAATAAATTGATAACATAATAGTGATTGAAGTATCAAGTTATTTGTACAACAAGACAAAGTTCGATATATCCAAATCACAAATCTTATATTTAACGTCTTAGGATACTTGCAACTGGAGATAAAGGATTAAGGCAAACCTCAGGAGTGCAGTTCTCTTGCAAGATTCCACATTGCTTAATGGGGATCCCTGAACACGACAGTATCATAAGGGTTAATAACAGTAGAAATTGTGGTAGATCATTTCCAAAACTATGGAAATCAAGAAGGTACTGTAATCTGAAAGAAAGAAAGAAAGAAAGAAAGAAAAGGTGAATAAGCAGATCAAGACCTCTGGAAGGCCAAAATCTGAAGGTTTGACTGATCCAGTTACATCCAGCAATATATTTGCACACCTGATGTCTCTTGGAGGATAGAAAAATTACGAGATTTTAGCATTGTTAAGTTTTCTAATATTAAAAATTGGCAAATTCATTTCCTAGTCAACTCATTCAACATTCAGGAAAGTAAGTTAGGAACTCAATAAATTATTTATTGGAAGTTAGTATGGATCATAAAAAACTGAAAACAGATTTTACAGGATTTTATAATTTAATCACCTGTGGGCCACATCTCTGTCATGTAGATATTTCAATCCACGTAAAATGTTTCTGGTATAAAGTACCGTTGATGTGCCAAAATACTGGACTAAGTTCTCATGTTCAAATCGACTGAGGAGAGAAATTTCCTGAACAAATTAAATGAATTTGTTAAAAAAACAGCGCAATGGTTAGAATAAGTTGAAAATATTGACTCGAGACAGTTAAAGAGCCTTGGAGGCAACTTAAAGTACAGGTTATCACAAGTGAGCAATGAGCAAAAAGTTGAGGCTGCTTGACCTGCTCGAGTTGGATAATCCTTTGTCTACCCTCGTCCCCTTGATCAAGCAAAGATACTTCCTTGACAACAAAAAAGTATCCATCGCTAGCACAAAGCAAATTTATGATAGGGTTTAGCAAATCATAACAAATACAGTACAGATGTGTTTCTGATCGTGTAAACTGAAAAGGGAAATCCACACCACATACAAAACGGGATAAGTAATATTTCCTTTCTAAAATTAAACACTCAACGTACATGCTGATGGAGCAAGAGAATCATATCCATAAGAATCAAGAAACAACAGGAAAAATAAAGTAAATGAATTTTTTCTGAAGAATTCACCATGATATACCTGATCCATGCATAATATCATAAAAAATGGATACATATGAAAGGAAAACAGAAATAATTGGAGTAGACTGAAATTCTTCACATATATACACGTGAAAGGGAAAATCCTCAAGTATGTGGGGAAAAAAAAATTACTTTAGCTAGATT